ACTGTGTATCTTCCTAGCCATCATTTGAAATGACTCTGTGTAAGAAATAGTTTCATTAAATACTCAACATTCTGGTAAAAAGGATAAGATTTTTAAAATAATTATTTTTTGTCTGATTATTACAATACACATTTATTGCACAAACTATGGAAAGCATAAAAAGAAAATTAAACCATCTCATAAGATTCTCTGAAGAAAAGTGATTCCTAGGACACCAAAAATATTTAATAACACAGTTGTGGTTTTATTTATGGAATCATAAGAAAGCTGTTGAAAAGTCTAATATCCACTCCTTTGATTTCATAAATAGTATATTCTTGTCTGGGCATACTTCTTGTGACCTCCATTGCCAGGAGAGAACAGTTTTACTGCCTGCCTGAGACACGCACTTTATGTACCAAGATACCCAATCTCCCCTCAAAGCCATATGCATGCTTGTTCAAAGCAGGTGCATGCTTGTTCTTTCAGATACCTATGTGCAGTAGGAGACAGGTCTATAAGCACATTGTATGGCAGATACCAAACAATTATTAAAAGAGCAGTCACTGTCCTCCAAAAAGAGGCTAACAGTGGAGGTGCCACATTCTTGCTTGGGCTCACACACACAACTGCTCTAACACAGATTTAGTGTAAGATTTAGCATACAGAAAGATAGCTGCCCCCAGATAGCCCACAAAATACTGCCTTCATGTTTAATGCCCTTGGTTGCAGTTGACAAAAAACAGCTACTATTAATTGTGCCACTTATTCTGTACATGTATTTATACTTCATCTTTAAAGCAACCCTACTATTATCTTCATTTGATAAATAAGGCTTAGGGATTTATCTGTGGTCACATGGCTAATAAAGTAGAAACAACAGAAATAAATGCAATGGAAATTAAAAGAAAATGATACAAAGCAAGACCTGGCATGTAAAAGTACAAGATCCCAGTAATGAATGTAACTGTACTGTCTACCTAGAATGTACCAATAAATTAAATTTTTTAAAAAAGAAAATGATAAAAAACATAAATGAATTGAAGAGTTGGTTTTTGAAAGAATAAATAAAATAGATAAACCCTTAGCTAACCTTATCAAAAAAAAGGAAAGAAAAGGCTCAGATCCATGCAATTAGGAATGAAAAAGGTGAAGTCATAACAGATCCAACAGAAATCCAGAGGATCATCAATACCTACTTTGAGAACCTGTACTCTAATAAAACGGAAAACACAAAAGAAATGGACAGATTTCTAGATATTTATGAATTACCAAAGTTGAACAAAGAAGATAAAAACATTTTAAACACCCCAATTACAATCACTGGAACTGAAAATATAATTAAAAATTTACCAACAAAGAAAATCCCAGGCCCTGATGCAGTCACTGCTGAATTCTACAAAATATTTAGAGAAGAACTACTGCCACTACTCTTTAAAATTTTCAATGAAATTGAAAGGGAAGCAATACTCCCAAATTCATTCCTGGAAGCAAGTATTACTTTGATTCCCAAACCAGGGAAAGACCCCACTAAAAAAAGAGAACTACAGGCCAATCTCCTTAATGAATACTGATGCAAAAATCCTTAATAAGATATTAGCAAACAGAATGCAGAGGATCATCAAGAAGATCATCATCCTGACCAAGTTGGATTTATTCCAGGGATGCAAGGATGGTTCAACATAAGTCAATAAATGTAATACACTATATTTACAGAGTCAAGGACAAAAACCATATGATCCTCTCAATAGATGCAGAAAAAGCATTTGACAAAATTCAACACCCATTCATGATTAAAAAAACCTTTAAAAATTGGAATAGATAGTCTATACTCAACTTAATAAAGGCTATCTATGAAAAGCCAACAGCCAACATCATATTAAATGGCAAAAAAATGAAAACCTCCACATTAAAATCAGGAACAAGACAAAGATGCCCACTATCACCATGCCTCTTCAATATAGTTCCAGAAACATTAGCCACAGCAATTAGACCAGAGAAAGAAATTAAAGCATAAAGATAATAGGAAAGGAAGAAGTTAAACTGTCACTATTTGCTGACGATATGATACTCTACATTGAAGACCCAACAAACTTCCACCAAAAAACATCTAGACTTAATTGAATCTTTTAGCAGAGTAGCTGGATACAAGGTCAAACTCAAAAATCAATAGCCTTCTTATACACAAATAACAGACTCACAGAGGAGAGAAATTAGGGGAACAATTCCTTTCACAATAGCATTAAAAAAAATGAAGTATCTAGGAATCAATCTAACAAAAGAAGCAAAAGGCCTCTACACTGAAAACTATAGCACTCAGAAAAAAGAGATTGAAGAGGATATAAGAAAATGGAAAGATATCCCCTGCTCCTGGGTAGGAAGAATCAACATAGTGAAAATGGCCATACTACCAAAACTGCTATACAGATTCAATGCAATGCCAATTGAAATTCCAACAGTATATTTCACAGAACTAGAAAAATAATCCAAAAATTCATTTGGAATCACAAGAGACCTAGAATAGCAAAAGCGATTCTAGGAAACAGAGATATGGCAATGGGTATAACAACTCCCAATTTGAAACTATACTACAAAGCCACTGTGATAAAAACTGCATGGTACTGGCAAAGAAACAGACCTAAGGATCAATGGAATAAATTGGAAGGTACAGAAACAACTCCAGATGTCCTCAGGTACCTCGTCTTTGACAAAGAAGCCAACCATCCTCACTGGAGGAAAGATAGTCTCTTTAATAAATGGTGTTGGAAAAACTGGATCTCAACCTGCCAAAGATTAAAACTAAACCCTTATCTTTCATCGTGCACTAAACTAAAATCAAAGTGGATTAAAGACCTAAATATTAAAAAGAGTCACTAAAATTGCTAGAAGATAAGTTAGGCAGAACTCTCAAAAACATTGGTATAGAAAAAGACTTTATGAACAAATCCTCAGTAGCATGGGAACTAGCACAAAGAATCAACAACTGGGATCTCATCTAATTAAAAAGCTTCTGCACTGCAAAAGAAACCTACAATGTGGGAAAAAAATTTTACCAGCTGCTCCTCAGACAAAGGACTATTACATAGAATATATAAAGAACTCGAAACAATCAGCCCCCCCAAATATAAAGACCCGATTCAAAAATACACATCTGAAATGAACAGACATTTCTCAGACAAAGAAGTAAAAGCATCAAGTAAATATATGAAAAAATGTTCCATATCACTGGTCACTTGAGTGATGCAGATGAATACAACACTGAGATTCCACCTCACCCCAGAAAGAATGGCTGCTATAAAGAAAACAACTAATAATAAATGTTGGCAGGGTTGTGGGGAAAAAGGAACCTTTCTCCATTGTTTGTGGGGCAGTGCAGACTGGTACAACCACTATGGAAATCAATATGGAGATACCTCAAAGAGCTAGAGGTTCCATTTGACCCAGCCATCCCTCTGCTGGGTATCTTTCCAAAAGAATTAAAAGAATCATATCACAGTGATACATGTGCACCTATGTTTATAGAGGCACAGTTTGTAATAGCTAACATGTGGAAACAGCCCATTTGCCCATCAGTTGGAAACTGGATAAAGAAGATGTGGTTCTTCTATTAAATGGAATACTACTCAGCCATAAAGAATGAGAAATTAGAGTCATTCATAGGAAAATGGATACATATTGAGGTACATAAGATCCTAATGATATAACTGACAACGTGAAATAGGAAGAAAAGGGCTAAAGGTGTCGGGAAAGTGGGAAGGGTAGGGGAAAGGTGATAAGGGAAAAGAAAAAGAAACATGAGAAAATGAAAATATGGAAACAAAGTATTTGTAAATAGGGAAGGGAGGAGGGGGTTAAGGGAGGGCAGGGACAAGGGGGAAAAATGAGAACCAAGACCTGTCATGCAAAGGTACAAGATCCCAATGATGAATGTAACGGTACTGTATACTTAAAATGTACCAATGAACTCGATGAGAAAAAGAAAAGTGGAAACAAGGCTCAAACCCAACAAACCTGCTCCAATATCCATCCATATAGCCACTTTTTTTACTGCCTTCCTGCCTGATTTTTGTCTCCTATCTTGTAGGTCTCCCTCCATTTCTCTATCTATTCACCATCCTTGTCTGAGCCACTGATGATTTTTCACTTGGATGATTATTGTACCTAGTAATCTCCCCACCTTCCCTCTTGCCCCCTACACCCACTAACCCGTGTAAAAGACAGCATGCTTTCAGCAGAACCCTATTTCAGTCATGTCTTTCCTCTTCTTAAAGCCCTTCAGCATCTTCCTATTGCTTTTAGCAACCTACAAGGGCTGGACCAGTCTGCATTTTGCCTACTTCCCTATCTTACCTCTGCTACTCCCACCCCTCCTAGAGTACAGTCTCAGTGTCTTTATTTCTACTGGGGCTGCCATCTATCTTATAGCCTCAGGGCCTTTGCACAACTTATGTTCTCATCAGCCATCAGCACTCTCGTGCATACTTAAATTCACTGCCTTTTCCTATGTCCTAACCCCTAAATAATCTCTTTTTCATCTATATAAGATTGCTTCATGCTTCCGTCATGCAACTCATCACAGCCAGTGTTACCTGTTTGTCAGTGCTTCACTCTTCCACCAAGAAATAGAAAATGAACCACGAGGTTTGTACTATCAAGTCAGCTCTGCTTTCCCTTTGTCTCTTTTGTATTTGCTACAACCACATCTACTGACAAAGTTTTGAGTTTTCCATATATTTCTATCATATTTTCAGAAGATAATAATGAGAAAGTAGGAAGAATGAGACAGGAAAAAAACAAAAAAATATATAAGAGGCGTTTTTTAGAACATTAGAGTAAGAGTACATGTGTAGAGTTCTTCTCATTTCATTAAACCTGGTAACAGTGTGGCTCCAAGAAACGCTCCAGAAACAGCCCGGGTCATCTTTCCAATCCACAGTGGCATCTGCTTTCCCAACACAAGGTGCTGAGCTGGCCTCTGCCAACCTTACCTTTACTCTCTCCTACACCAGCAAGAAACTGACCGTAAATTCCGCGATCTTTGGCACCCGGAACTTCCCTTTGTTCTTCTGTTCTGGTTGGTACTCTGTTCTTGTCTTCACAATCACCTGAAAAGTTCAGCCAGTGTCAGTATACATGGAGACAAACCATCTCTCTTTCTCTTTTCCTTTTTCTAATAACTAAAATTTATTATCTATAGCATAAAGGTTAGAAAACAAAGAATCCACTTTCCAAGCATACACTAGTGAAAAGAAAATTCAAATTAACCATACTTCCCAATTTTCAACAGAGACAAACACAGGTAATTTTTATTATATCTTTCCAAATGCTTTTATATGCATATATGTGTATTATGTATCTACAATATATAACAACATATGTTCTCCTTTTATGAAATGCTTTTTTGCCTTCATGATATTGTTTCTAATCTGCTTTTATCATATAACACAATTATTTTTCCAGTGTAGGGAAATGTATGAATTCATTCATCTTTGTTGTTGTTGTTGTGCTGCAGAAGGAAACTAGGACCCAAGTGCATGCTAGGCAAGCTTTCTAACAGTGAACTAGATCCCAAGCCCTTAATTTTGCTTTTTGATGTAGCATAATATTTCATTGTATGTGCATATTACAACTAAATTTTCACTGTTGAACATTTAGGTCATTTCTACAGTTTGGGTTATATAAACAAGCTTATAAAGAATATCCTATAGCTAGACCTTTGCACATATTCTTAATTCCAATTTGATTTGAAGATTTGAGCAAAGATATCAAGGTGTGTTCAATCTATTGTATCATCTGATATTTCTAAAGCTTGACTTTTTTTTTTTTTGCAGAGGTGGTTAATCTCCTCATAAGATATGCTGTCAACTTGACAAGACATTTATGGAACTCCATCCTACTGCGGAGGCAGAGAGGAAGAAAAAGAAGCCTGACAGATAATCAATAGCTATCACTAAATATTGCAGTACCATGAGAAACATTGAAACTCTCTGAGTGTTGGGGTCTTATATGAAAATATAATCATAACCATAGTTCATAGACAATAATCATAACCATAGTTGCAATTTAATAAGCTTCCTTGGAAAGATGAGTCAGCTTAAAAGATTTCACATTTCTAAACCATTTGTTATGCACCAGAACTAGAGAAAGCACTTCATATACTTTACCCACATCTACTATTTCCATTCCCCTGACAAGAAAATTGAAAGTCAGAGATACTGAGTCATTTGTCCAAATTCACATAGCTAAAAGGAAGGAATATTCTAACCATGAGCACTCTTCATTCCTATGGTAGCTTAAATTAACAATTGTCATTGAAAATTCCCGCCATCCTTTCCTAGGGCAATGTCAAGAACCTTGACTAGAGTAAGAAGGCTTCTAGAAAGAATGTTCTTTAAAGTTCATGAGGCATGCCATTGATTCAGCATTGCTCAAGATGAAGGGATGGGGTAAGCACTGTTGTGTACTGAGCGTCTACCATGTGCCATTTCCCATAGTAAAAGAAGTCCAGGTCCCCAGCCCATACAAAACTCCCCCTTTTCTTGACCTTTAGAATTCATTTGCAGATACTCTCTTTGCAGTGTCCTTGGTTAAATAACAAAAAAGAGATTCTTTGATTTTCTTAAATAAGAAAATTTTTCAAGCAAACTCAAATGCAGACTTATGGGTAGAGATGATGTTCTATTATTCTTATTTTTTCCTACCCCCTGAATCAAAGAATGGGAAAGTAGAAACATATGTAGAATATAGTCCTTCCACAACTCCATATGCTATGTAAAACTTTGTCTTAGCGGTCTGGAAAGACACTCTCCACTGACCTTGAAGAGTTAAACTGACATGTTGTGATAGGGCCATGCAGCAGATACCTGAGGGTGGCCTCTAGCTGACAGCCAACCAGAAAACCAGACTTCAGTACTATAACCACAAAAAATTGAATTCTGCCAGCAACTTGAATAAGCCTGGAAAAATATCCAAGTAGCAGACAAAAACACAGCCCAGTCATCACTTTGACTCAAAGCTTGAGTAGAGAACTAAGCTAAACTGTGTTTGGACCTCTGATCTACAAAACTGTGAGATAATGAAACTAAGTTGGCTTAAGACAAAAATTTAGTGATTTGTTATACAGCAAAAAAAAGAGAATAGTTTATCTTCCCATATTGCCAAGCCCATCTCAGCCACCTCTTGGTTTGATCCTTTCCTGTATAGATCCACAACATTAGGTTGGTGTTGAACATCTTCACATCACACATAAAATACTAGGGAGCATTCACTTCTTAGGACTTCCCACCTCTTCTATGTTTTTTTAAACATCCTTCCCAAAGCTTTTCAAAAGCTTAAAATCATTTTCATCATTTTGTTAAATTGAAAGACCCTATATTCTGACCAAGATGTTAGTCAAGAGACAGAGCTGAAAAATATTAATGTTAAGATGAGACAATAAATAATCCTTACAGGTAATGTTATTCTAGTTTCTATTAAAATAGACATTTTGAGGTTGCTTCTCCAGCATCACTTTCCTTCTTCAACCAAAAGCTCTCTATAATTCCTTTCAGAATCTCACCCCTGACAGCCCTGTGGTTTCAAGAGAATTACCTCTCCATTCAGAATAGAAATGGTCCCTGCTTCAGTTAAGCCAATTAGAGAAGGCTATGCTATCACACTATTTAATTGGCTCAAACATTAGCATATCACCTAACTTGGACCAATAAGATTGGAGGCAGTATTGACCAGAGACTTGAGGACAAGTCTTCCGTGGTCTTAATTTGTGTCCCTGAGAATGTGCCTTTCCTTGGACGGTGTGGTGAGGGCATGAGTTCTGGAATTATTGAAGCAACTGTTGCATATATGAAGGGAAACTGCTGTAGCAATTGTTGCTCCTGTGAAGAGGAGGACAAAGGAAGCACACAAAGGATGGCAAAGCCAAGAGAAACCCAGAGAATGAAGATGAGCCCAACTGATATCCTGCCCTCTGGATCACATTTTGCCTGAAGCTAGACCCGTGCTGAACTCTGCATCAATAGGCTCAAATATATATTCTTTGATATTTATCCATTTGGGTTAGTTTTTCTATTACTTGAAACTTAACACTTTCTATTTCATGTAAGTATGTTCCAAGAAAATGAACTGAAAAATCTATTAGAATTCAGTAAGATAGCCAAATTCTAAATAAGCATACCAAAATCAATAGATTTAATGTGTCAGCAAAAATCCAACTCAAAAAATATAATGGATCTACCAAAACATACATTAAAAAAGTTTCAGAACAGCTTTGTTCATAATAACACCAAAATAATCGTTTCTTGGCCTTTTGGCTAAGATCAAGTGTAGCATAGTAACCCCAAAGCAAAAACAACTCAAATATCCACTAACAGGAGAATGGGTGTAATGTGGTTTAGTCATAAAGTGAGAATGCTATACAGCATTGTATAGGAACTATACAATATTGGAACTATTTCCAATTTTCATCTTTTCCCAGGATATAGATGCACAATATGGTGCTGTCTTTCCCTCTGCTAAACAGTGGCAGCAGAGAGCTGCAACTCCCAGTCAGCCATGTGATCATGAGGGCAAATGGATGCTCTACAATGTGCTGTGTTAAGTTACAGTCAGTAAGCTAGGTAGACTGCATTTCTGAGTTACGATATTGTCAACTTACAATATTCTGGGTATAACCCTATTGCAAGCTGAGAAGCACCTGTATTTCATAGACTTGTTCTCCCCTCCTCCTTGAAACATTCTCTTCCTTTAGGTCCATTAGTGATCTTTCTCTCAGTCTCTTCCTACTACACTAACTAGCTCTTCTTAGTTTATTCTTCAGGGTCCTGCTTTTCCACACAACCTCTCGATGATGGGATTTTTCAAGAATAGGTCATAACCTTCTTCTCTCCTTTTACAAGCCTTCTTCTGGGTGTCCTTACTTACTCTCATCATTGCCAGGTCTGTCATTTATTTTTATGACTCTCAAATATATCTCTCCATTCAGACCTCCTCCAAAACTCAGTTTACCCTACTGGGAATTTGTGTTTGGATCCACACAACTAAATTGTTCATGGTCACAGTCCACCTCTTGGGCTTTGATCTACATTCCCCAACTACCTTGGCCTCAACATTTTCATGCCTATAGAATCTGCAGCTTAGAAAACAGCAGTGTTGTCCACATCATTGTTCTTATCAAATCAAATACAAGAATCTTTCTTGATCCTTCCCTTCTCTTTGGTTCCCAAACCCATTCCATCATTCCACCCATTCTAGTTCCAGCTTCCTCAAATATTTCTCTAGAATTGACCCATCTGTCTGGGAGTGGGGATGGCTACACTGTCTCCTCCCTAATTCACTGCATGCTCACCTTTCTGTGTGCTTTGGCTTTTGGCTAGCTTCCTTGATTCCCCAAACCCAAAGAAAAGCTCTTTCTAGACCAAGAGAGAAGCATATACCAGCAAACCTTCAGAAGACACTCAATAAATTTGGGGGAAAACCCAGAGGCCAGAGAATAGGGCAGTGAGGGCCAGATGACAAAGATGAAGCTAGGAGGGACAGACAGATCATGAAGGCCAAATTGAGGTCAGTGAAGAACTAAAGAGGGATGATAAATCAAGAAATGGTTTTCCACGTGTACATTACAACTAAAGAAGAAGGCTCAACCACAGTGGAGACACAGGGGAGAAGGGAGAGACAGAGAACAGATAATACAGACCTATGAAGGCACTGAAATCAGGAGTTGCAAAAAATTTGGTGTTTTGTTCCTATGGAGGGTAAACACAAACATTTCCCTTCTTTATATAAGAGATATAGTAACAGTTACTGATGTTTAGAACTGTGAAGGGGAAAGCATAAGCAATGTTAATCAATAGTTATTAATGGTACCTTGGAGGAATCATCTTACATAAGCAGGGTGGGGGGATTAGAGAAAATAAACTTGCAAAGAAAGGGTTTATTCTGGGCATTTTTCTTTTTTCTGCAGTTCCAAAGATGGATCAAAACAAAGCCCTGAGCTCTTTGATTTATACTAGAAATGGAAGGAAAAAATGAAGAGAAAAAAATTCTTCCTAGTCTATTTATTATTAAAATTAGGGTTTTGTAGATATATGGAAAAACAAAAGTTCGAGTT